GTTGAAACGTCTGAAAGGTCGGACACAGGCGAGAGCGTATCGGGAGACGGAGACCAACCAGACCTCCCTCATCCTTGTGGATGGAGCCAATGATCTGCTTTAGATGGAGCACATGATGGGAAATAAATATTTGGAAACATTAAACCAGGGGTAGCCAATTAAAAATCAATGCGGTCGGAATAAAGTAAATCATCAACCATTAAAGGTCCAGAGACATTTTAAATGATCTGTTACTTTTAACAGAATTAACACTGAAATAAAATGAGGTATTTATGCATTCATGTTATACATTGAATTTTTAAATAACAAAAACACATTTCAAACATTGCATCCTGTGCTATCTCAGAGGAGTTGACACTGTATTCCTGTATATCCATCAGTAGTCAAAGGTCAAGGGTCAGCAAATGCTAATTCTGCCTGTAAAACAATAACAGCGTAATTGTCGCTGTCTGATCTGAAGCCTCATTTGGAGCTTTTAAACAGGTTTTTTTTTTTTTTAAATCTTTGATAATTTGCTTCTGTAATATAATAGATTTTAAGAATAAAAAGCCAGCAGATGAAATAACAGAAATACAATTATAGAGCATTCAGTATTATAAGAAAGCACACACTGTTTCTGAATAAATACATTATTGTATGAGTTAAGTTCTTTTCCTTTTATGTCTCTTCCCTTGTAAGTGTGAAATTTCCCATGCTCCTGAATGCACCAAAGCTATCTAACTTTGTGAATGCATCACACTGGTCTGTGAACGCTGTGCTGTAAAGATGCGTGTTTGATTTTCCGCTGAAGAAAAAGCTTTGCAGTTTCAAAACTTGCTATCACTGTTTATTGTTGTGTGTGAATAACAAGAGACTAGAACAAATAAATCAGCCAAACCTCGGACAACATCTGTGGATTTAATGTTGTTCATAACACCCATACTTTTGTTAATGAAGCTGCCAAATAACCACAATATTTTTCCCACGAGAGGAATATTTAAAGGTTTTTATATCATTAATATAACAACAAGTAGCTCCATTGGTCATAGTTTAATCCGTTTTCCTTGTCCAAATACAGCTGTACAGAGCGAGGCGCGCTACCCTGACTGTGGATGCATATCTCAGCAGGGACGCACTTTTCGGCATAACACCGGACCGCGGTCCGCTAACCCTTGACCTCTGCATTAAACCAAAGCCAAGAGTAACGAGTAACGTTAGTTTTGAAAATGTAAGGAATAGAAAGTACAGATACTTGTGTGAAAATGTAACGAGTAGAAGTCAGAAGTAGGAAGAAAAATAAGTAATGGAGTAAAGTATAGATACCTAAAAAGTGTACTTAAGTACAATAATGAAGTATTTGTACTTTGTTACTTGACACCTCTGCCAAAGTGTCATTTTAACCTATATTAGTGTATAGACACTATAAAAGTGTTTAATTTAACTCCCTAAGAGTTAATTAAACATTTTCAATATTGCTGTG